CCCCCCCCCCCAAGCCAGATCCTGCAGCTAGATCCCCGTGGGTGGACCCCTGAGTCCATGTAGATCGGGGGACCAGCTGTCCTGATTTTATAGGGACATTCCCCATATTTGGGGATTTTTCTTATAGAGGTGCCTATTACCCTCCACACTCTGTCGTGATTTTTCATACTTGCTATCTGGTCACCCTACATGTAGAGCCCCAGAGAAATCATTGGCCCGCTATGCTGCAGCTAGCACAGGGCTCTACCCACCCACATCCAGTTGAAAGATCAGGGCCTTCTGTTCTACAGTGACATCCCCTTTCCTTTATGTGCATAGTCAGTTTCACCAATTGCACCTCTTGGTTTGCAAACATGACAGGGGAACCGACAAAATAAATAAATCAAATTAAAATAAACAAATAAATACAAAGTTTCCATCAGAATTAAGGAAAAGGAAATACAGCAACGTCAAATTATCCGAATTCCCTTAATCCCCAAATTCTAGTTATCCCAATCCACAGTGCATCCCCCATGTAGCCCTCTGTTAGTTAATAGCCCTTCCATGTATCTGACTGTGTGGTTACCCAACAGTTTGGGATGACCCCCAGCACATACGGAGAAACGGCAGTGTACTGAATGTCTTGGGTTGGGGTCTGTACAGTCTGAACATACTTAAACCTGTCTCTTTAAAGTAAAAATGATGCAAAGAAAATGACGTGTTACGAACGCCCGAGGCGTTGTGGGGCACTCTGGGAAGTAGCGGCTGGGAGCCACCCCACACCCTCCTCTGCGACCAGCTCATGATTCCACATGCACTCCCAGCTGCTTCGTGCCTACACTTCCATTCACGCTGTGGCAAACGTCCCCTCTCTCTGCAGCTTCAGGTGATGGTCCTGGCAAGTCAGAAGGTAGAGCCAGCATCCACCTTTCCGAAGGGACACTAGGGACAGGCAGTCAGGAATTCAGCGTGTGCAGCAGCAGCCCCCTAGCACCGGTCAGGCACTCAGGCAGGGGAGTTGAGAGCAACATGCATCCCTATGGGGCAGCTGCCCTATACAGCCTGTGCTCTGCTGCTGCAATTCTGGACTGATAGGCAATGCAGTAGGCTACCCCCCAACTTTTGTCTTTGGAGAGCAGCTTCTAGGCCAGCAGTGAGATGAACTGGGCAGGGTTAGTGGACATTTTATTCCCTGCCTCCACACACAATTGGGTTATTTTAGCCTGATTATCAATCTCTGCCCCAATGAGACTCAGAATGATAGTGACAGGGTGAGAGGAAGTATGGCAAGAGGGAATTATTCCTCCCTCTCTCTAAGGTATTTAGAGGCTCCAGTCTCTATAGCATCGAGGCAATACATTGAAGGTGTGCTACAATAGACCAGTTCAGATCCCTTTGTCTCTGGGAGCAGGGAGAATGTCTCTGCAGCAAACCCCACCCTTTACTTACAGCTGACTGAAAGACTCCAGCTTACTTACAAGCCTCCATGAAGGAGAGATGTCTGTTCTCAAAGCTCTGCCCAGAACAATTAGCATGTATCTTACCAGCAATGGCAGCTGGGACTTGCTGTCAGAGCAGCAGCTAGGTTAGAACATTCATCTTTCTATCTGCTATCATAATACTCCTTCCAAAGCACAGAGCATCTAGTGCTCTGCTGCCCTCTACAACCCTTCTCTGGAAGGACAGCCTTGATTCACTCCATGTCATCAGAAGTCAGAGTAGTGGTTGACAAACTTGGACTTCAACCTTTAATGTTCTTTCCAAGTTGCCACACAAAAGAGCCATGGGTGGAGAGCTCCAGCTTCCACCTGCCATACTTGTAAAGCCAGATAGGGGAAGAGAGACATACCCCTAGCAACAGGCCACGCAACTCCACACCCTCCGGTCACCTTACCCATCTCTCCCATTCATGAGGCGCACTGCTAGGGCCAGAAGGAACTTAACCCAAAACCACACAAAGGAAATGGAGATTGAAAAATGTTAGATTTCCATGTCCTTCCTTCTCGGTCAGGTATGCGGCTCTGGGGGTGTGGCTGTTGGAGGAGAGTCACTGATGTTTATAGGGGGACTTGAAATGTTGAGAGGGTGGGAAAAGAAAGTTACCTGTAGTACAGAAAGCACTATCCCAAACCTTCCTTTCCCACCCCTTTGCTACTGAAATCTGGTTGAGGAAAATTGAGGCAGTTCATGTGGTGGGGCCCTGGGTATTGTTTTCCCAGTCTCGTAGGGGCTGTACAATACTTTTTATCTTCAGAAAGACATGGTGTGAATTCAGCACTTTGTGAAGATGCCAGATTGACAGCCCTGGAGACAGAACAAGTTCAACTTGAAGAGGGGCAGCTTCCATCACACTGTCCCCTGCCTCCTTCCCAGCATAGGAATCAACTCCAGCTGGGCAAAGAAAGGGGAGTCCTGTCTCCATGGCCCATTGACCTTTGGCTTCTTTGATATTCTTGTTGGCAGTCTCAGCAATCAGTGCACATTGCGGTGTGTGAACTGGACCCATGTCCACTAGCTACTAGACAGACTCCCCTGCATTACTCAGACATCACCCCAAACTCCTATTACACAGGCCATCAATCAGCCATCAGATGGGAACAACTTGGTGGGCTGGGCCTGGCAGCCAACCTGACTTTGAACTAGTGATTGAAAGTGAGTGCACCCCCCTTGAACGCCTCTATGTCACATCTCTATGCCTTCATTGGCATGACCCTTACACATGGAATGGTCTTCATTATGGCTGCTACCCTCTCCCCCTTTAAAATCCACTTCTACTGCTATGCTTCTAAGAAGTCAGACAGGCAATGCAGCTATCAACAACTCTGTAACTCCCGACTGTATTCTCATTCATGTCCTCCCTCCCCACTTCTCTACGGTTCGATGCATTCCCTAGAGTTATTTTTAATTAGACTACAAGCTCACTGGGGTAGGGACTGTGGGTCTGTACAGTGTCTGCCATAGTGGGACCCTGCTCCCAATAAGGCCTTTGGCTGCTACCACAACACTAATAGTGAAGGCCTGTTTGCATGCCCATTAACCCTGCAGATCCCAAAGCCCTGTGAGATAGAGTGCAAGCTGGATTCTAGAGTGACTCATGCAACAGTGGCATTGCTGACTAAGTTTCAATTGTACACTCCACCCTAGGCAAGTCAATGATCCAGTTTCTATCCCATAGATAGCTCAAGGGTGGGGGTGGGGTCGGCCCTAGGAGTTGGAATTTCTAAACTGGAGCCACTGGATAGGAATCAGTGCAACAACCAATCAGGACCCTGCAGCACCATGTTTATATCATCATTACAGTGCCTAGACGGAGCAGTACACCACACTGGAGGCATGGCATGGCCACCCAGGGATAGCACTTTGCACTGAGAGGCGGGAGTCTCAAGCTCCACTCACAGCCACACCATCTATAGTCTGGGTGTTGCTCTATAGCGAGATGGTTGGTCTCTGGAAGGAAAACAGCTACAGGCAAAAGGTTTTGGTTGGAGGAAACAGGCCTGAGAATTACCTCTGCTCAGCCATATCCAACACCAGAAAGGCAAACGTATCAAGCCAGAACTGCTCTCCTAAGAACCACTTAGTGCAAAGCAAAATAGAGACGCAACATTACCTAAAGAACAGACACTTCTGCAGTCTGCTTCAGAGTTCTCTCAACCAGTGGATCTCAAACCTTCCAGACTACTGTCCCCCTTTCAGGAGTCTGATTTGTCTTGTTTCACCTCATTTAAAAACTACTTGCTTACAAAATCAGACAAAAATACAAAAGTGCCATAGCACACTATTACTGAAAAAATTAGTTAGTCTCATTTTTACAATATAATAAAATTAATCAATTGGAATATAAATATTGTACTTACATTTCAGTGTATAGTATATAGAGCATATATGTCATTGTCTGTATGAACATAAGAACAGTCATACTGGGTCAGACCAAAGGTCCATCTAGCCCAGTATCCTGTCTTCTGACAATGACCAATTCCATGTGCCCCAGAGCGAATGAACAGAACAGGTAATTATCAAGTGATCTATCCCCTGTTGCCCATTCCCAGCTTCTAGCAAACAGAGGCTACGGACACCATTCCTGCCCATCCTGGCTAATAGCCATTGATGGACCTATCCTCCGTGAATTTATCTAGTTATTTTTTGAACCCTGTTATGATCTTGGTCTTCACAACATCCTCTGGCAAGGAGTCCCACGGGTTGACTGTGCGTTGTGTGAAAAAATACTTCCTTTTGTTTGTTTTACCTATTAATTTCATTTGGTGACCTCTAGTTCTTGTGTTATAAGGAGTAAATAACACTTCCTTATTTACTTTCTCCACACCAGTCATGATGTTATAGACTTCTATCATATCCCCCCTTAGTCATTTCTTTTCCAAGCTGAAAAGTCCCTCGCCTCATATGTAAGCTGTTCCATGCCCCTAATCATTTTTGTTGCCCTTTTCTGAACCTTTTCCAATTCCAATATATCTTTTTTTGAGATGGGGCAACCACATCTGCACACAGTATTCAAGATGTGGGCGTACCATGGACTTATAGAGAGGCAATATCATATTTTCTGTCTTATTGTCTGTCCCTTTCTTAATGATGCCTAACATTCTGTTCGCTTTTTGACTTGCCATTCCACATTGAGCGGATGTTTTCAGAGAACTATCCACAGTGACTCCGAGATCTCTTTCTTGAGTTGTAACAGGTAATTTAGACCCCATCATTTTATATGTGTAGTTGGGATTATGTTTTCCAACGTGTATTACTTTGCATTTATCAACACTGAATTTCATCTGCCATTTTGTTGCCCAGTCACCCAGTTTTGTGAGTTCCTTTTGTAGCTCTTTGCAGGCTGCCTGGGACTTAACTATCTTGAGTAGTTGTGTATCATCTGCAAATTTTGCCACCTCACTGTTTACTCCTTTCCCATTTATGAATATGTTGACTAGGACTGGTCCTAGTACAGGCCCCTGGAATTTTAGTTTGTACTGACTTAGCTAATACTTTTTATGTAGCCTGTTGTAAAACTAGGCAAATATCTAGATGAGTTGATGTACCCCCTCAAAGACCTCTGCATACCCCTGGTTGAGAACCACTGTTTAACTGCCTCACTTTCACCCGGGCTGTACGTCCGAGTGACAGGGAGGCAGCATTAATAAATAGTTGTGCTAAAGATAAGGCTGGTAGGTGTTTGATTTGGAGAAACAGCATACGCTTACCTTCCTTCAGCTATGCCTGTAAAGACTGCCCCAGCCTTGTCTGTACATTCTACACCTGGGTAGGATTAGTGTACGTATGTTTCCTCATATGTACAAGATCTCCGACCTGGCTACACAGATATAGGTGGGGTGATTCTCATTTATGAGTTCTTGCTTCTCGCTATTTGACCAAACACTAGAAGAGCCATTAGCATGCATTACAGGACATCGTACAGCACTTGCTGGGCTGGTTTTGTCCTTACGCTGGACCACTCTAGACCTAAGCTGCCACTCCTAGTCCCCCGGTATGGGACAACATAGAATTTCCTGCTGTGACACCCACAAGGAAGTGGCCTCTGCAAACAGGTGGGACAGGTTTTACCACCACTGTTTGGTAGCTAGGCCCCTTTGAGCAGCAGCTGCCTTTCACATAAGAACTGGGAATTCACCCCATATTGGTCACTTGGAAATAAATAGCAGAGGCCCCCTCAGGTAAGAAGTACATAGGTGTTGTATATGGAGAATCAAAGCTGCCGGCAAAATTAGGAGAGTGGGACCCACCAAAAAGGGTGTAAGTTCCCTACATTCAGCCAAAACCAGAAGGGAGGGCAGACCTTGTACTGTATGAAGGTCTGGGGCGAGGACGGGACAAGGCAATAATAAACAGGCATTTAGTCTAAGGGGGGCAGGAAGCCTGCCCAGAGACCATAACCTACTTTGGGATGACCATGAGTTCGTTAAAGAGGATTACGCTGTACAATAAAGCTATTTGAAATGAGTCGTCAATAAGGAGTAAACTTGCTCGAGTATATTGCATCCAAAAGGGCAAAATGCAACAGACCATGTGTCACATAAGGGCAGTGATCTGCAAGGTGAAGTATTGGGAGATACTGCAAAATGAACTGATGCTACCGCTTGGCATTTCTCCATGCAAACGGACTTAGATTGGGGGGCTGTATTTATGGAAATGGCAAACAGTCCAGGAAGCATAAGATAGCGATGATGCCATCACATCACCAGATGGTTTAGTCCAATACAGAGATCCTTGACAGCATACCTGTGAGAGCGTGACAGAGCCTGCTCAGAGCCTGTCAGAGACATGCACAATATTTCCGGGAGTCCGGATGAAGGATCACTAAAAAGCCCTGATGAATGCTGCTGATTCTATACAGCAAGAACTAGAATAGCTACAAATCTTTAACCCTACAGTACTGCTCCCATTTCAACAGCACTTGCAATGGGCAATACATTTCAACAGTCAAAAAATCCTGAAAAAAACCGTTTTTATTAATGCACACAGTATCCAGACATCTAGAAGAAATCAGCAAATTCCAACATTAACTCAAATCTCTGTCATCAATCATCAGCACCATTCCCCACACTTCCATATGAATTTCCCTTTCATACACTAGAACCTTTGGGTAAATAAAAGCATAGAAACATATGAAAAAAAAAACATACAGAAGGTTTCCTACCAACTACAAGGATATAACTTTTTGGAGATCAGCAATTCTTTGTTCATTTGACTCAGCAAAAGTGATATCAAAATACGTTGTGCTTTAAAATAAAAAAAATACTAAAATATAAAAACTTAAATATTTTTTAAAATCAGAGTGCTAATAGCAATTGATTTATCACAGCTGTTTCAACAGAATCTGTTAATGAAGCATTGAGAATTTGAGGTCTACATAGCAACATTCACATTTTGCACTGCATACAGACAGGCTGCCAAACTTGTATGATTGTGCCACCGGGAGCCTCGTGGAAGAATTCAACCCAAATGTGCCCCACTGATAAGATCTACTAAGGTCATGAAGTAAGGTGAATACTAACAAAGGAGGGTTGTCAGAGTCCAAGAGCAGAGAGCCATTTCTACTGACCAACACCACATAACAACGGCCATACGGGGTCAGACCAGTGGTCTACCTAGCCCAGTATCCTGTGCTCTGACAGTGGCCAATGCCAGATGCTTCAGAGGCAGTGAACAGAACAGGGCAATTTATCGAGTGATCCATCCTCTGTCGTCCAGTTCCAGCTTAGGGCAGTCAGAGGTTTAAGGACATCCAGAGTATCAGGTTGCCTCCCTGACCATCTTGGCTAATGGCCATTGATGGACCTATCCTCCAGGAACTTATTTTGGTCATCACAACATCCCCTGGCAATGAGTTCCACAGGTTGACTGTACAATGTGTGATGTACTTCCTTATGTGTTTTAAACCTGCTGCCTATCAATTTCATTGCGTGACCCCTGGTTCGTGTGTTATGTGAAGGGGAAAATAATACTCTCCTGTTCACTTTCTCCACACCATTCATGATTTCATAAACCTCTATCATATCGCCCCTTAGTCTCTTTCCCAAGCTGAACAGTCCCAGTTTTTTAATCTCTCCTCTTACAGAAGCTGTTCCATGCCCCTAAATCACTGTTGCCGTCTCTGTGCTTTTCCCAATTCTAATATACCTTTTTTGAAATGGGGCTACCACAACTGCACACAGTATACAAGGTGTGGGTTTACCATGGATGATAGAAAAGGGATAGGTAATAAGAAAATATCCTAATGCCTCACTAATGGTTCCTAACATTGTTAGCTTTTGACTGCTGCTGCATATTGAGCAGATGTTTTCAGAGAGCTATTCATGATGAGTCCACGATCTCTTTCTAGAGTGGTAACAGCTAATTTTGTATGTATAGTTGGGATTATGTTTTCCAATGTGCATTACTTTGCATTTATCATTGAATTTCATCTGCCATTTTGTTGCCCGGTCGCCCAGTTTTGTGAGATCTCTTTGTAACTCTTCATAGTCAGCTTTGGACTTAACTATCTTGAGTAATTTTGTGTTGTTTACAAACTCTGCCACCTCACTGTTTACCTTTTTCCAGATCATTTATGAGTATGTTGTACAGCACTACTCCCAGTACAGATCCTTGGGGGACCCCATTATTTACCTCTCTCGACTGTGAAAACTGACCGTTTATTTCTACCCTTTGCTTCCTATCTTATCCCATGACTCCAGCTGAACACATATTTGTTATCCAGTCATCTACATTAAGTGCTCAAGTTCCAAGGTTCATGGGTGTATTAAAGTGGAAATGATTAGTGTTTTTGTGACATTTTCCCTCCTCCGCCAAACCTTCCCTTCTAATACACTTCTGTGTTCAGTTCAGGCCATCATACAATGACTAGGAAGAAAAAGCCAAAGGACCCAATTCCTCCATGGTGTAACTCCCTGAAGTGCAAAAGAGTTACACCAAAGAGAAATCTGGCCCCCTGTGTTTAGCCTGCAAGCTTTATGCAAACCATGGAAGACAGTAAGGGGACTGGAATCTCCACAGAAGAAATTCAACCTAACCATAAACAACCTCGGCCACATGAGAGAGACATACACAGACAGACAGACACACAACAGCACCAAAGTTAGCCTAAGTGAAGCAGAAACCTAGGAAGAATAATAGTAATACCATGCCTCTTTCTAGCACCTTTGACTAAAGGAACTCAGAGCACTTTGTACACCTTCAATTAATCCTCACAACAGCCCTGCAAGGTACGCCAGTATTGTAGAAGTTACACAGATAAAGAAACTTAAGTGGATGTTTGCTAGAACTGATCCAATATTGCCATGAAGTTCTGATTTCCAGGGCTGAGATCTCAAGTACCTGCCTCAACACCCACCTCAACATCCAAAATGGTCAGAGGCACATACACATGCTAAGAAATGTTTTGTAATGAAGAATGGGAATGCTGAATCACCCCCAAGGGAACTATGGGTACCGTTGTCATTAAGAGGCAGTTTTGCACTAATCATATGAGAAGAGACATGTCTGTCTTCGAACGAAATTCACTCAGATGAACGTTCTACGTTTATGGAATCTTCCAAGAAAGGCTTAATTTGTAGCTGCTAATTGAGGGAGGTTGTAATTTTGAGGTCCATCACAATAAGACTATGGGTACCTCTCCTGCCTTTTTCAGCATCTCATGTCTGCAAAGGAATGGAAAAGGAATACCTCCTCTGAGACAGAACTGGCACCCCCACTAGACAAAAGTCTTTGGAAGCAGAGCCCAACCACCTGCAGGACCATAGGTTTGATAGCAAGTGAGAAGGCAAGAACTCCTGAAAGAACCGCCTGAAAGTACAACTGTTCACCCTCCTTGCCTTTTATAATGCAGCCGATAGCTTGGGGCCTTCTCTTCCATTATTTCTCCTGCTGTTCATTAAATGAGGGTTGGATTCCCATTTAGCTCAGAGATAGACATTAGCTTCTAGTAAGTCAGTAACGCTGGGGATGAGGAGTCTACCCACCCTTTCAGTTTAGCTGAAGGCATCACACATGTTCAGCAACAGAGATACACATGCCCTATGATCTTTCGCCAGGCTGCACCAGCCAGACTGCCTTGAGCTAGAACCCTTCAGGCCAGCTCCCAATCTCGACGGGCATTTGGATCCCTGCTTCTCTTCACTTGCTCATAATTGCTGCTGCAGCTGATTCAAGGACACTTGGAGCTTTTGCTAAGACTTCTCTCCTTCCATCTAAAAAATGAAATAAAGCCTAAATTTGATGTCTATCCACAGCCAGGCAGAAATAGGCTCTGAATTAGGGTTGGGAAAGTCATCGGTGTTAATTGTGTATCAGTTAGCTGGTGGCTTGACAAAATAAGAGATCATATTTCCCTTTTCGGGGCTAGTAAAGAGTAAACCGTTTCTGATGCTTGAAAGCTGCGGCACAAATGATCTAGAGATAGATTTTCCTTCTCTTAAAAATACTTCTTGTTTGGAGAACAGGCCTAGATCTTTGCTCGGTGGCTGAGACTTGAGAATAGCTCCTGCTCCCCCTGCCTCATGTCACTCCCACTGTTTAACTTTAGTGAGAAGTGGATAGGTCTGCAGGGCCGTCCCTAGGGAGGTGCGGGGACTGGGGCAGAAGTGACATCACTTCCGGGACCGACCACGCTGGGAGTGGGTAGGGGAGGACTGTGCCTCCCCAAACAGCCAAGCGTGGCTCTCCCTTGGGTGGAGGGCTCTCTCTCCCCCAGCCAGTGGTTCACCCGCTGCCCAATCACGCCAGCCCACGTGGTCCCCCAAAGTGCAGGGCCGGTAGTGGTTGCCCTGGTTCGCTGTCCCCTAAGGACGGCTCTGCAGGTCTGAAGTCTTAGCTGGAGAGCAAACTTTAATCTGATCACGTTTCAGCTGATTATTATTATTATTATTATTTTTTTTAAACCTCATCCATACTCAAATACAAGATGATTAAGGCTTTGTTAATTCAGAATTGCTTTCTGAAGAGAGATGAGAAGAGTCTGGCTGAAAATGGCAGATGCTTTCACAGCTCCTTCTGCCTAAGGAAAACAGGAAAAAAAAAAATAAAAGACCACACAAGAGTCTCATAATAATACTTTGCACTTAGCTAGAGCTCTTCATCTCTAAGGTGCATCTCAAATATTATTTAAACCTCACAACACCCTGGTGAGGTGGTTAGTAAGTATTATTATATCCCTATTTTACATATAGGGAAACTGAGGCAGGGTGGCTAAGTGACTTGCCGAAAGCCACAGAAAGAGTATGTCAGAGCTGGGATCAGAAGGCAGAAAATTCCTGGCTCTCAGAGTCTCTCTCCCCAACTCCCTCTTCCCCCAGTGCAAGTTTTAATAGAAACCTGAATCCAACAGAGAAGAGGGTAGCAGTGCCACATGCTTAAATAGCAGGATTCCCAGTATTACAAACACTCAGAAAAGGAACATTAAATAATTGAGCCTCTTGGAATTAAAGCCAAGATTACTGCACATGTTGTGAAGAAGCCAATGTACAATACAAACCTAGCTTAATAAATAAAGAAAAGACATGCAGCTGCTATCGCCACTGTGTGACCAAGTCCTCCGCTCATTAAGGTCCCAGATCCCAATGGGTGCACCCACCACATCACTCCTGCGACTCTACTGCCACACCAACATGTGCGTGTCTGATAGTGCGGCCGTGGAGTTTATAGCCATCCTGAGTCACTAGTGCCACTGTGCCCGGCTGCATTCCCTCTGCTGGCACATGGCAGACTATTTCATGGTCGTATGGATCATATTTGCCACCAACGGGGTTCATCTTCTGAAGGCCATGCTTGGCAAATACACTTTGCAACTTGGCCTCTATGAGGAAGAGGCCTTCATAGATCTTCTTGAGGGTTGGTTTTGGGTCACTAGGCTCTGCTTCTCTTGCAGCGCTCTCCGTAGTCTTCTCCAAGATATCAGCTACCTCCACCAGGTCCTTGCAGAAACTCTGGATCCCTGCAGCCACACACACAAATAGGCAGGATGTTAAGCAATGTCAGTTCAGTGGTAGATAGTGCAAGGCTACAGCATCAGCCCTGGGCATGTTGCCATGCCACACTGGAAGGGACGGATCCTAAGAGATGACTGCCTTCAGCTCCCACTTCAATGGTAACTGAGGACATTCGGCATCTCCTGAGACTGGGACCTCAGTATTGTACTTAGGCATGGTATAGAATCCAAAGCTTGTTGCCATTTAGGAAACCTGGCTCAGTTTGTACAAATTTTGGGCAGCTGTATATTTCTGGCTGCAGAGAATCCAATATGAAGATTGACAGAAACCTTCCCCCTCTCAGGTGGTAGGGACATGTTCACTGAGTAACATAACAAAAAGGGATCTGAGATTGATGGGAGGGGAAAGGGGAAGACATAAGCAACAATTAAATGCTGCATACTCCTTCATATATAGGTTTGAGAGCTATGTAGAGAACCAATAAGTAGGAGGAGGAGAAAGAAGAGAGTTACAAAGAAGCATCCATAGCAGATCAGATATTGGTCTATGTAGTCTTGCATCTGGGCCTATTCCAATTCCAACAATGTAGACGGACCCTGAATGTAATAGCTACTTCCGAGCAGACCAGGCAGGCACAAAGCAAAGGAAATATAGGCACCCTAACCCAGGATAAGCTCCAGCAGCCTTCAGATAAGCGTTAACTAATGAGAAAAAAGAAAACTCCTAGGACTGATATGGGCTACAGAGCTTTCTACCCTTCGGTTTCAGGTTTGAATCAAAGTCATACCAGTAGGATCCTAGAGTGCTACCATTTGATGATTGCTTGGCAGCCTAAGTGATATGAGATGGTGGACCCAGCCCAGTTCCAAGCTGACAGGTGCCCACATCACATAAAACCACAACTAGCATTTCTGAGGATGACAGTCTAAGCAGAGGTGCCCAGGACAGGACTCTCCATGGAGACTGAACTATCCTCTCACCCCTGGAGGTGGTCCCTTCACAGAAGGATTAAAGTACATTGACAGGACAGAGTGTGGAATGCTTGCTCTGCCGTTTCTCATGTTGCTCCTGCTCTGTGATAATCAAGGATATCAGTCTCCAGGGCTATCAGTCCAGCCCATTTCACCAACACTAAGTTTACTACATATATTTTAAGAAGAATACGTTAATTGAGAAAGTGATGGCCTCTATCCCCGCATGCACTACATCCATTAATTTCATAATGGAGGTGAAGGGAAGAACGGGATCTCAGTACTAGAAAGGAGATCGCAGCTTGATGACACTGCATAGACCATGGAATAAACTCAACGCGCCAATTCTCAGCGGGTGTAAATCATCTTCAACGAAGTCAAGGAAGCTATGCTGGTTTACACCAGCTCAGCAGCTGAATGTCAGCGTTTTACAAGTACATTCCCAAAATCCACAGGGTGGTATGATTTATTAGTATAGATCATTGTTACAAAACCAACCTTGGAAAAAAGAAACAAGCCATAGGGCTATCTCCAAAATAAGCCCACAGGATTTGGCTGACCATGCAGACACAACAGCTAGCAAGTCCAGCCACCAGTCACTTCAGGCCAAACCCCACAACAGGCTTTAAAAAGAACAAGGGCAGAAGGACGGGGAGGGGAAGCAGCTTATCTGTACTTTCTGCTCTGTTTCCCAACTGTGCTGAGCCAAGCAAGTCACGCTGCAGCAAACAGCTCCTGGACAGTGCCAGCAGCACTTCACTTACCAAACAGCTTGGCATCTTCCACAAACTTCTGTGTTCTCCTCCGGACGTTTTCCGAATCCGCCAAGGCTTTCCGGTATCGCTCCTGCACACACAGCAACAGGCACAGGCATTAGACAAGGGGAGTGACCCATCACAGGGCCACACCGATTGCTGTAGAACCTTGCATCCCCCTACATAGACAGTCTATTTAAAGAGATACTCCCCCTGCAAGTTACTGGCTCATGCTGGCCCCGCCACCCCAGTTAGGAAGAACACACGTGCCCAAAGGCCTCTCCCATTGCTTAAGGCAGCAAAACTAGGAGCAGATTAACAGTACCCAAGTCACTGGTCAGGAGGGTTTTGGGCCCAGCTGAGCAGACCACTCTGCGCTATCAGATCAGTCTGCTGTTTTTGGACCATTCAAGGTGCAGCTTTTGATGGATTCTTTCCCTTAGCAGCTGACTGGGTACTGAATTTGCAATCAGCTGATGCTTTGCTAGTGCAGAAGAGAGCTGCTGTCAGGGTGATAATTTCTAGAAAGGCCCTGCCTCTTTCCCTCTTCTTTAGCCTTTTCTACTCAAGGGAGTAGCTACAAAAAAAAAAAAAATCTCACCAGTGCAGCTGAACCAGTGTTAGCAGAGGTAGCACCCCTAGGGAAGATTAGCTCTTTTTAGTACCATGTGAATCAACCCTGTTTGGAACAAGTCTAATCACAGTGCTCAAAATAGTTGTGACGCTGGTGGCTCCTCAATAGAGGGCTGCCAACATTGCTCACACCACAGGAGCTGAACCAGTGTTAGCCAGGGTGGCATGTGTGTACAAATTCTCTAGTGTAGACAGCCGTAGAAGGCTAACAGATGCTCTCCCCAATGATAACGTAGAACTGGTGACCCACCTCTCTCTTTCACACCCACACACACACCCACCCCCTCTGTGTGTTTGGGTGAGGAGTAACATTTCTCAGAAAGTACGTCAGCAGGAGTAGAGTCTTTTGCAATATTTCAAGTTCTGTTTTCACTTGCCACATCGGTACATTTGCCACCCTATTGTAGAGACAATAGAGAAGTCCAATAAAATGCATTTGTTTGTAGCACCCTTCATAAAGTGATGATGCGCAGGCTGATCTCAAGAGAGGGCTCTCAACTCTGCTGTTTGCCTGCCCTGTTAGTCTGTCAGACCAGAGTCTGTTGCCCTTCAGGGACAGCATATCCATGAGGGAGCATGGAGCCTTCTTGGGGAGGAAGTTCATATAGTTAATACATTAGGGGTGTGCTAATGTACTATTTGCTCGGGAACTTATAGCTTGATGGATAAACCCATTTTATAAATGTAAACAATACAAAATCATAAACGGGGTTCAGAGCATCAGCCAGTAATGGGGGCTATGAATTTACCTTAATTGTGAGATCAACTGTAAGGAGTGAGTGAAAGCTCATAAAATAGCACAATCTATAATAATATAAGTTGATGGGAAAAGATGCAAAAGGGAGACAAAGGCTGAATTAATCCAAACAAAAAGACCTACTGATGTAACTCAAGGACTGGGTTACAATCTGGCCTGATAAACAAGAGAAGTTCTGAACTGGAAATCAATTAATTTTCAGCACCTGGATTTTGGTTAAGCCTACTTGGCAAACATAAGGGGTTGGGCTATTTTGCCCATCACTCCCTTTTGAGATCCTTAAAAGAAAAGATTTTTGGAAGAAAACAATATCAAGAAGCAGCAGCTGTTTGCCAGCAACTGCTGAAGCAAGCTTTACCATCATGGTCTCCTGGGATCCCACGATCTAATGTAACATCACTGGGCCATCCTGATCCTGAGAGATGCCCCGACCAGACTGGGCCAGAGAGATGGACCCAGATGACATCATCACCTCCATCTGCTCTGCCTAAATCCCAACCACCATCTGGGATGTGACACTGTTACATACCTCCAGACCCACCCCATGTGTCCTTTTCATTCCCCACTTTATTTCTTCTCTTTCCTACCACTCTCCTTCTAATAAGAGTCTGGCTTAGCTGGCCAAGACTGTGTATTTTGCAACACCACTGTAAACCAGAGAGGCAGATAAAAGCAATGCCCTAAACAGCCCGATGCTGGTACAAGTTTGCCAGATCTCTGTCTAATAAGACAGACAGTGTACAATGCCTCTGGTTTCTCCAATAGTGAGGTTGCAAGTGAAAGTCAATACCAGAGATGGAAGTTGCATTGTCTATCTTTGTTGTTCTCTTTTGTGCGTATCTTATTTTGTCTTCTTGAAAATGGGACTGGACTTTAACAATAACATCAGCAGCTCCAGCCCATTTCAAATTAACTTTCTCTCTTTTCCCTAAAAAAGGACAGTTATTAGGATCTTTAATACCATCTAAGAGACTGTCAGACAGGGAATTTTCCCCACTAAAGACTCTATGGCAAAAGGGAAAGGGAACAAGACAAGTATTATATAAGGCTTTCATTGTAACAACTATACCTGTTTTCCTTTCTTTTCTGTATCTTTAACAAAAGATAAAAATTTCATCATGTGTTTGCCATAAAACAAAGCAGGCTGAGATCTGTTTAACGTTGGATTACGACAGGGTCACATTAACATCTCTGACCCCATTAATTCCCTTGAAATTAGTACAATGGGGGCAGGGTTACAGAACGGAAGTAACTCATTGCTTTGAGGTGGAAGTATGAGGGCGTTCCAATTAAGATGATGCAGCACAAATGAAACAGCCATCTCTTTCAACTGTGGAGAGTCCGAGGGAGAGGACAGGGAGGCGGCCAAGTCCAGAAATGCAGAAGGAGTGGGTGAGCTAGGAGGTGATTACAAGTTCACAGAGATGGGATGAGTGATTCCATTCCATGAGTGATTCTGTTCTAAAAATGGTGAGCGTGATTAACTGGTAAGATGAAGGAACTGAAAGGGATAAAGGCGAGGGTAGAGGCATCGACTTTGGGATTTCCCCAGGCGTGCAGGATCCCCACTCCGCCCCTTCTCCCAAACCTCTCCTGCCCCCCGCTCCTCCCCCCTACTGCCTCCTGCAAGACGCTGAACAGCTGATCGTGACAGCCAGGCGGGAGGCACTGGGGATAGGTGGGGTGGGGAGGGCTGATCCGTGGGGCTACTGAGCACGCACTATTTTTTCCCTGTGAGTGCTCCAGACCTGGAGCATCCACTGAGTTGGCACCTATGGTAGAGGGAATGGAACACTGCTTTGCTACCTAAAGCAAGAGTAACTTGGCCACAACACCTTGTACCTAGAGTTTAGAGAGCAGGATTTCAGAACAGATGCCGATTTCCAAATGTATAGAAAACCATCTCCTCAATTAAGAAAAGCAGCTAAATACATTCTACACATCAGGCCTGCCTCAGCCGGATCATTTTGCACATTTATCTGAGTTGTATAAACCCTCCTAAGACCTGGTGATCCTTGAATGCCATAAGGCCAGGCTAATCAGGATCATCATTTGAATTCTCACTAGACCTGCAGTAATTTTGCCTGTGTCTTAACAGGCAACACTCAAAGATTTGAACAGGGAATCTCTAATAAACACAGTATTTGCTAGCCAGGATCAGACTACTCGGTTCATCCAGTCTGGTCTCCTACTTCCAGCAGTAATCAACAGCTGATGTTTTGGAGGAGGACATAAAGCACTTTGCTAACTGGGCATTGCCTCCTCATGTTACGCAAGGATAGCTGGTTGCCACCCTGTAGCCCAGAGATGGCTGCCTTTCCGTGGTGAAGTTGGTGAAAAGCTTTGGGATAAAAGATGTCATCTATAATGTATTCAGGCAGGTGGCTTAACAGTGAAATGAATGAGCCCTCCCACTTTGAAGGGACTGAACCCTGAGGACGTGGGGATACCTTGGCTAAGATGCTGCTAGTGGTAGACTCACAGTTAAATCACGGACTTGTTCTTCCAGTTTGCTGGCTTTGAGCTCTATAGTTCGCTCAGAAAGGGGATGTCTCGGCTCATCGCGGGGATCCTCTGGTCCACACTCATCTCCCGTACTCCTCTGCTGGGCCGCAGTGCTGAAGACACACAGGCAATCTCTAAAATACAAGCCAAGGGCAAAGAAGAAAGAGAAACACGATGTTGTTTTGTGCCCATCACCAGTGTTAAAAGCACATTCTCTTTGGAGACACCTAGGTAGGATCTTAACTCATGTAAAATAAGCAGATATGAAAGGCAGATACTACGCTTTGGTGCTTAGATCATACAGTGGCTGATGCCACCCAGACATGTCTACATGACAATATAGGGGAGGTGTCCACACTACAACGCTACTTTTGGCAGCAAACCTCTGCTGTTTCTGCCAACAAAATAAAACCACCTCAACGACAGCATAAAGCTTTTTGCCGCAAAGTTAAATCTCCCCCGCCCCAGATACATCACTCTCCTCTCCCTCCCCCTCACACACTTCAGTTGAAAAGCAGCTGACAATGTACTAGGAACTGGAAGCCCCTGGAAGAATGGGATTGAGAAACCTGCATCATGGGATGCTATACCTGCCCCCTCATGAGGCATTGCAAATCCTTCCCAAAGCACCCTGCAGCCAGTTGCATAGTGGGATAGCTACCACAATGTTGCACTGCTCTCTGTGTCGATGCAAGAGCTGTTCGTGTGGATGCACTCTGCCGACAAACGGAGCTATTGTGGACACGCAACAGCGGTTTTAATTAGGGCTGTCAATTAATTGCAGTTAACTCACACGATTCACTCGAAAATTAATTGCGATTAAAAACATTTAATTATGATTAATCGCACTATTAAACAATAGAATACCAATTGACATTTATTAAATATTTTTGGATGTTCGTCTACATTTTCAAATATATTGATTTCAATTACAACACAGAACACAAAGTGTACAGTGCTCACTTTATATTATTTTTTATTACAAATATTTGCACTGTAAAAATGAGAAACAAAAGAAATAGTATTTTTCAATTCACCTCATACAAATACTGTATTGCAGTGGTTCTCAATCATGGGTCTGCCCCCCCCCCGGGGGGGGGCCGCAAACAGGTTTCAGGGGGCCCGCCAAGCAGGGCCAGCATTAGACTCACTAGGGCCCAGAGTAGAAAGTTGAAGCCCCACTGCATGGGGCTGAAGCCCAGGGCTCCTGAGTCCCGCTACCCAGGTCTGAAGCCGAAGCCTGAGCAATGTAGCTTTGAGGGGGACCCTGTGGCATGGGGCCCCAGGCAACTGCCCTGCTTGCTACCTCCTGACACCAGTCCTGGCTTTTATATGCAGAAAAACAGTTACTGTGGCACAGGTGGGCCATGGAGTTTTTTATAGCATGTGTGGTGGGGGGGGGGGGGAAGAGGGGGGAACTCAGAAAGAAAAAGGTTGAAAACCCCTGCTATATTGCACTCTCTTTATCGTGAAAGTGCCACTTACAAATATAGATTTTTTCTGTTACATAAGTGTACTCAAAAACAAAACATTGTAAAACCTTAGCGCCTACAAGTCCACTCAGTCCTACTTCTTGTTCAGCCAATAGCTAAGACAAACAAATTTGTTTACATTTACAGGAGATAACGTTGCCCACTTATTTACAATGTCACAATAAAGTGAGAACAGGCGTTTGCATGGGACTTTTGTAGGTGGCATTGGAAGGTATTTACATGCCAGATATGCTAAACATTCGTATGTCCCTTCATGCTTTGGACACAATTTTTTTTAATCGCGTGACAGCCCTAGTTTTAATTAAAACGCTTTAATTAAAGCAGCATAACCTTTGCAGTGTAGACAAGGCCTAAGTTACTTGGAATATGTAAACAGAGTTCAAATACAGAGAGCTGGTGGACAATAAACCTTATAACCATACAACTTGGCATGTTAATATCTAGTTCAAAATCTTTTCCCTCTGTAACAAATGTTTGAGAGGAAGGTGACACCCCCCACCCCTTAATGAATCTAGCCAAGGGGTGGGAGAACCGACACGCACATTCCTGCTGAAAAGATCATACACGAAGTGTGAGGATCTTGTTCGTGGGCACAGAAATTCCCCAGCTTGTGAAACCTCTACACAGGCAGTTCAGATCTTACCTGTGAAGCCTCTACACAGGCATGTCAAGATGTTCTGCAGGACAGAGCTTCTTTGAAAAGCCCCAGCTCTCTTAGGGATTTAACAGCAGATCACATATCACTGAGTTTTGCATCCCATTTCACAGCCATGCTGAATTCACTTGCTTGGGGGAAGAGTCAGATTTTTTGACACCCAAGTAACCATTGGTGGATATCTGTTAGCCTCCTGGTACCAGTGGGTGAGCTGAGTTTGTGCCCTGGGATGATAAATTCTAAAGGCAGTTTTGCAAGGCAGATCTATTACCTGCCTTCTTTACAAGGCTCTTTCGACAGCGGCTTCAGAGAGCTAACATTTCTGAACTAAGTCCACACATTACATCTGCAAACCTACAGCAGCTTCAGCGATTCCTAAGCACTGCAAGGCCTAACATCACAGGGATTTGTGTCTGTCAACCATTGACTACACACCAGAACCGACCCAGGCCAGCTGATCCCCTCCAGATATGGACTTCAGCTAGCAGATTCAGCAAACCAGGGAGGAAGTGCGTACACATCGTGCCAAGTCCCAAAACAGCTCTGCTCCCTCTGACAGAAGCCACTGGCCTGCTCTCTTCTTACTGGCCTATTAGCTATCTTCTCCTTCAGACCTATCAGCACTTTCTGGGGCCTGGCCAGTCCTCCACTTAGGGTATGTCTACACTACAAAATTAGTTCGAATTTATAGAAGCCGGTTTTATAGAAATCGGTTGTATACAGCTGATTGTGTGTGTCCCCACATAAAATGCTCTAAGTGCTCTAGTCGGCGGACCGCGTCCACAGTACCGAGGCTAGCGTCGACTTCCGGAGCATTGCACTATGGGTAGCTATCCCACAGCTATCCCACAGTCTCTGCCGCCCATTGGAATTCTGGGTTGAGATCCCAATGCCCGGATGATGCAAAACAGTGTCGCAGGAGGTTCTGGGTACATGTCGTCAGGCCCCTCCCCCTCCGTCACAGCAACGGCAGACAATAGATTCGCGCCCTTTTACCTGGGTTACCTGTGCAGACAACATACCACGGCAAGCATGGAGCCCGCTCAGCTCAGCTGAGCTCACCGTCACCATATGTCCTCTGGGTACCGGCAGACGTGGGACTGCATTGCTACACAGCAGCAGCTGCTAACTGCCTTTTGGCGGTAGACGGTGTAGCATGAGTAATAGCCGTGGGGCTGGCAGCTGTAGGGTTGCATTGCACCAGCCCCTTGCCCTTTGGTAGAAGATGGTATATTACGAC